ACAGAGCTTACAAACTGCTATTGATAAGGTTATGTCAAAAGAACCGAGTGTAAGACAAGCTGCAATGCAATACAATATTCTTAAAATCACTATACATGACAAAATAAAGGCCCTAAATCGAGGAGAAGAAGTAACAATGAAACCAAAGTTAGGTAGGTTAACTAGCACCTTCTCAGCAGAGTATGAACAAGTTTTGGTGGACTACATTAAAGATTTATCGAATTAAAAGCATACGACTTAGCTGAAGTCATGAAGATTTCTCGTCGATTTAACAAAGAAAAAGGCAGTGCTGGTAAACATTTTTACTACGACTTCATGAAAAGGCATTCTGACATTTCGTTGAGAGCACCGGAATCGACAAGCATGATGCACGAAATAGGATTTAACAAACCACAAGTGGATCTATTCTACGACAGCCTTGAAAAGCTGATGAAACAGTACAAATTCACACCCTCAAGAATTTATAACTGTGATGAAACTGGCGTCAGTTGCGTGCACAAACATCAAAAAGTTCTCGCTCCGAAAGCCACCCGTCAAGTAGGTAAGCTCACTTCTGCTGAGAGAGGGAAAAACATCACAGTTTTGTTCTGTATGAGTGCTAACGGTCACTACGTATCCCCATTTTTCGTATTTCCTAAGCAAAGAATGAATGAAAAGCTTATGGTGAATGCTCCAGCTGAGAGCATCGGTGTGGCCCATCCAAAAGGGTGGATGAATAGTGACTTTTTTTGCAATATCTAAGAATATTCGTCAAACACACGCAACCAACTAAAGAGAATCCTGTGCAGCTGCTACTGGATGGCCATTGCAGCCACAAGACATTGGCGGTAATCAATTTTTGCAGAGAAAATAATATTCACTTGATGAGTTCACCACCACACACTACACACAAGCCAGCCTCTGGACAGGACATTTATGAATCCATTTAAATATGAATACAGCCAACGATGCGACTTGTGGATGAGAACAAATGCTGGATGTCGGATATCGGATTACGATATTGCTGGTTTGGTCAAAGAAGCATTTATAAAAGTAGCTCGATTGGATGTTGCAGTATCTGGATTCAAATGCACTGGAATCCATCCATTTGACAGACATTTATTTTCTGACCTAGATTATTTGGCTGCAGATATGACCAATATACTACTAGAACAAACAGAAACTTCATCGAACGCACTAAATAACGAACAAGCTGTCGTAATATCAAACTTAATCATAGAAGAGCAAATGAAAGTATCTGAACAATCTATTAGTGAGCCTATAACCACAAGTCCCAAACCGTCGACAAGTTCTGCTCCCCATCTTGTTCAAATAATCTATAACTTATCACCGTTGCCTGACGCAGCAAAAAAACGAACAGCAACTCGAAAAAGAAAGAGTGAACGAAGTGAAATTTTAACTTCATCGCCATACAAAAAAGTGGCAGAAGAAAAAGAAAATGAAAAGAACATGAAACATAAAAAGAAGGAAATAAAATTTAAGTTTGAAGTAGCAATGGGAGGTAAAGGAAAACCCAAAAACCAAAGGAAAGAGCGTAGACAAGGGAAAAGAAGCGACAAACGTGAAACCTAAAGGAAAGAAAGGAAGTGAAGTAGAACCATTAACTGAAACATCTAACACAAACATAACAATTTGCGTAGTTTGCTTAGAAGACCCTGACGAAGACTGGATCCAGTGCTCATCCTGTCGTGGGTGGGTACATGAAGCATGTGCAGACATTCCAGAGTGTGGAGATGGCTTCATATGTAATTGATGCAGGTTATTTTGAAATATCCGGTGCTAGGTGTATGGCACAAATATTCGTCCGGTACTAGGTACCACTTTTTAAAATTATATTTTTTATTACCAAAGTTTGATTGATAGTATTAATTATTTTTTAGCAGAGGTTGCATTTTTGTTAATTTAATTTGATTTCTAACTTTGTTATCTAATATAAGTCATAATTTAATAAACATCTCTTAAAATATTTTTTGTTTAATTTATAAATAAGCTTAGGTGTCCGCCACTAGGGAACTTCCCCCTACTATAAAAAAGGTTTAAATCCCGAAGATTGTTTCGATTTCAACTTTAGGCTTGTTTACGAGCATCATATATGATTAGTTTGCCTAATTCAAAAGAGGAGGCGGAAGCTTTGAATGTGAAGTGAGACAGGTCAGTCGTCAACAATACTGACTAGCGATTGAACTTGACTATATATTGTTACGTGCAGTTAAGGTCCGATTAGGACGAGTAATAGAGAAATACGTAACTAGCTATCGTAACAATATCTATGGTCCTCAAACAAATCCACAGTCAAATTAAGTGAAACTCCGACGAAAAGGTTTGGAAGCAAAGAAGACGCGAAAGATAAGGAGAAAACATGTAACGTAGGCGTGTAATAAACGAAATTTTAATTACTCACGGAAAAGTGCAGTGCAGCTACAGCCAGTTTAAATGTATGGAAACATTGAGCACGTATACACTGCTCAAGGTTGAAAAGATTTAAATGTTTGTGTGTGTATATTTTTTATTCTTTTGGCATTGGTCATTTAGTCACATGAAATATTGTGTCTATAAATTTAAATCGCGCATAGAATGTGTTTGATATCAGCAATCATTTCGAAATCCTTTTTGCGATAAAATTATTGAAACGACATTGTTTTTCTATGATTGTTCAAACGCAATATGACCTCTTATGTAGCTTGATGCTAGTGAAGATAGGAGCGGCTAATACTGGAATGCGGTCATGTTATATTGTTACGCAAATAATTTTTATTTATGATGTTTGTTATTAGATATTTTATTGCAAGTGTACGAAATATGTCAAATTTCAAAAATACATCACGCCTTTTAAAGCCAGCTCAAGCGTGCTGTAAACAAACTAAGGGTCAAAAGAACACGCAGTCGTGATGAAAAGTGGATGCTGTTACCTAGATTAGATGTATTATTCCATCCTCGATTAAGTTTCAAAACGCTGATACGTTATCATTTTTGAATTCTGAGGACTTTACTAGTAAAAAGGGTCTCCGGTTCTCTACGCTCACTATACGAACGTGTAATGCAGCTAATTATGCTGCTATTTCACGCTGGCTTTCGTTGAGACCGTGGTCTTTCCCTGGCTGAGCCAACTTATTCGTGCTAAAGTAATATTTGCTTCGTAAAAGTTTTTTGCTGTAGTGTACAGAGAAAAAACCTTTGTGTGGGCTAAATGCACCCCTTAGGAATAACCTACTTGTATACTGAATCATTATCGCGACAGAAATCCGTAGTAGAATCGCGTAACTGACCTAGTCCAATGGATAAGTAAATTGAAGTGGCAAATGGGCGGTCAGGATTATACTGGCTCGAAGGACCGATTCTCGATCGGGAAGAATAAGGTTCTCGAGTGGCAGCCTCGAATGTCAGTACACAATGTAGGGCATCACTAGATGCAATAACAATTAAGACGTGCAATGAGTCGATTTATATCGGTGTGGCCAATGATTGAGGTTTGTGGTAATCTATGGGGAGGCCTATGTTCAACAGTGGATTTTTTTAATGATGTTCCCCTACACCAGGATTTTCTTTTGAGGCAGTTTACAAACATAAATTTCACAAGGACAAATATCCAGCCGCGGAACAATTATTTTAGGCGGTACAAAATACTTGATCCGTGCAGGATTCGAAGCCGTGGCTCCCAGTGCCGCAAATCATTGCTAAGCTACTGTGCCACGGAGCCGTCGAACGATCGGACACAGACTTGAGATGGGCTGTAACTATAATGATAAACGTATTTTCGCTTAATTTAATTTAAAACTGAACTAAAATTGATACAATAATTACTAAAATTCAATGGTGCATCACAGTGTACATAATACTACGTGGTAGGAATACTTTTTGTTTAGAAGTCCATCAGGGTAGGTACCACCATTTTTTTTATAGAATTATGGTGACAAACGAGCACACAGTACTCCTGATGGTAAGTGGGTGCTGTGGCCCATAGACATCTACATTTATCCTCGATTAAGAATCAAAATGTAGATGCGTTGTCACCCCAGATGACTAAGATGGAATGCCTCGTTTTCAGTAAAAAGGGTCTTCGGATCTCTACACTCAACATACTAAACACAGTAGTATTAAGCTGCTATTTTACGCTGGTATTCTGTGAGAGTGTGGTCCCTCCCCGGTCGAGCCTACCCATCCGTCATCATCATAATCATCATTACAGCCTTTCACAAGTCTACTGCTGAACATAAGCCTCCCCCAAGTAATGCCACAAAGCCCGGTCCTGAGCCACCTGCATCCATTGACTTCCTGCATGTCTTACCAGGTCGTCACTCCATCTAGTGGGGGGTCGCCCTACACTACACCTACCGATACGAGGCTAGCCAGCCACTCGAGAACCTTATATCCCCATCGGTTATCGGTTCTTCGAGCTATAAGGCCGGCCCATTGCCGCTTCAGGTTACTAATCCGTTGGGCTATCTCGGTTACTCTGGTTCGACTGCGGATATCCTCATTTCTGAGTTTATCACGCAGAGAAACCCCGAGCATAGCCCTCTCCATAGCTCGCTGAACGACCTTGAGCGTCCTCAGCTGCTTCAGATCTGTCCAGTCTGAAGAGTATAAGAAGCCGGTATAATTATAGGCTGTGAGGTATTTCACCTTAGTCCTCAGAAGTGACAACGAATCTTTTAGCTTTCTTTGTTTTAAAATGGCTGCAGGTGTCTATGGATTGCAGCAGCCGCTTACCATTAGTTCATTTGACATTTATACATTTATAAAAAAAAAAAATACAGAATGGCCACTCGCCCCCCTCCCATTGATTCGACTACGCCCCGCCCGCAATTCGAGACATGCTTTATTTACTCACAAGAGGAACTCGTATATTCCTCCGTGTCATCACACATACAACTACACCGTTCACGTAAACAAACCTGCATGTGGTCGTGGTAGGGGTATACGACGCGTTTGTTTCGTTAATTTTTTTCGACAATCGCCGGGATGTGTTTGTACTAAAGCACCATTTGATTTTACAGACAATGTCTTCAGAGAAGAGGATAGACATCACCCAACCTTTATGGGACCAGAGCACGTTCGTGGGCCGGTTCCGGCACTTCGCTTTTATATCCAATCCATTGTTGACGTTTGTGCCGGAAAAGCAGTTGTACGAAGCAAGAGATCTCTATATGAAGTACAAGTAAGGATTTCGATATCTTTGAATTTTCTTTTTTTATTCATCAGTCTTCAAAAGTCGACTGATAGACATCAGCCTATCCTGTTGGGAGAATTTTTTCCCTAGTATGTTACAGCATTATTGGCTACTCCGAATCTCATTTATGATGATGATCTACGGCAACACCGTGTTGATTCTAACTTTATCCTATAAACGGGATGTGTTTATACTGATAGAGTAATTAATTTTCAGAGCATAGATGTCAAGACATCTGTTCTCATGATGGTTAGATTGATTAGAGTGAAGCCCAGCTAACTGTAGTGGCAGTGTAGGAATATCCACTACACCATATGCTGTGGGGTGTCGCAAGACAAAGGGAGACAGAAATAGGGGATGGGCAGCGGTATTTTTCTAATAACAACACAAAATTAAAAAAAACTGCGGTTGGCAACCCGCCTGCCATGCGTGGCAATTATAGCAAAATCCTCACTATGAAGAAATCTATGGGGGAGGCCTATGTTCAGCAGTGGACTTTTAAAGTTTGACCTGCTTTGAGGTGAATGAAAATACCTACACATCGATGAGAAGGATGCTGTGGCTTTTACTTGTTCTCAATTAAGGATGAAAATAGAAATGCAGTGTCGTCCACCTGAGTTCTAAGATGGAATGCCTTGTTAGCAGTATAAAAGGTTCTCCGGTTTTCATCACTCACCATACAATACATAAAAGGAACTGTTTCACAAATGTATTCCGTTAAAAAAAAGAAATTTGTGCTTTACAAAAATATTTTATTATCTTTTAAAGGTACTTAAAACTTTAAGGGTAGTTAAACATGACATAAAATTGTCCACAGAGCAGGCCAAGAACCGCAAGGTACGACCATGGCTCAAGTGATAAGAGCCAAGCAACTGTACGAGTCAGCATTCCATCCGGACAGCGGCGAGCTGCAGAATGTGTTCGGTAGAATGTCCTTCCAAATGCCTGGTGGTTGTCTAGCCACAGGAGCTATGTTACAATGGTACAGGTTAGTACTTGTATCGCAGATTAAATTATAGCTGAACTTGATTGTGTAGCGGTGTAAGAATATTCACTACTCCATATCATTCCGTGGGTGTCGTAAGAGGTGACAGAGGGAAACTAAAACAGGAGATGGGCAGCAGCAAAACAACTCAAAATAATAAAACACTGTGGTTGCCAAACCGCCTGCCAATTGTGGCAAAATCCCCCCAATTATGCAATCTGTGGGGGAGGCCTATGTTCAGCAGTGGATTAAAAGGATAGGGTGACAAACGAGATCACAGTCCACAGATGGTAAGTGGTTGCTGTTTCCCATAGACATCTATCTTCGATCACGAATCAAAATTTGGGTTGCGTTGTCGCCTGTGAGGACTAAGATGGAATGCCTCGTTTCCAGTAAAAAGGGTCTCTGATTCTCTACATTTACCATACGAAACACAGAATCATTAAGTTACTATTTAACGCTGGTATTCTGTGAGAGCGTGGTCCTTCCCCGGTCGAGCCGATCCATTCATGCTACCTAAAACTAGATTTTATTTTTAAGATTAGTAGAAATGTCTTGTAGCCTTATCCTTAACACAGTATTGTTGTAAAGTAGTGTTGAAGTAAAACAAAGATTTAATCAATTGCACGTTAAAACTTGAAATAGAATATAAATTGAGAGAACTTATTTTTGTAAAATTGCCGGTTATTCCCTAAAACATCTACCCCTATACTACTAATATACTACTAATATAATAATACTGCAGCATGGCTGTACCATGTTTTATCACCATGATTTAACAATATACATACATATAAATATAACAAATTTCTTTGATGTGTCTTTTATTTTGATTTTTACGTGGTAGACCCACGCTGCAGCTATATTATAGTTGTAGCACGAATGGATCGGCTCGACCGGGGAAGTACCATGCTCCCACAGAATACCAGCGTTAAATAGTAGCTTAATGCTTCTGTGTTTCGTATGGTGAGTGTAGAGTACCGGAGACCCTTTTTACTGGAATCGAGGCATTCCATCTAGTCCACAGGGGTGTCGACGCATTTTGATTCTTAATTAAGGATAAATGTGGATGTCTATAGGCCACAGCATCCACTTACCATCAAGTGGACTGTGTGCTTGTTTGTCACCCAATGCTATAAAATATATATTACAATGTTTTTAAGAGAGTATGCATTTTCTGCCATCGGTTGCCAGACCTCATCTCAGACATGCTTACTATGACTAAGTATTTTTATTACACACTAGTACTACTACTTCTACAGCCCATCACAGGAACACTGTTAAACATAGGCCTCTCCAATATATTGCCACAAAGTACACTCCTGAGTCACTTTTGCCAGCGTGTCTCATCAGGTCGTCACTCCATCACTGTTGTCTGTTCTCTTTATTACATATTTTCCATGAATGAATGAAATTATTTATTTACAAAAATATGCTAGGTAAGTTGATAGATATCACCAAATAGTCAAACGCTATTCAATTTTACGATTTCGTTAAGTCTCGTGGTGTCGCAGTCACTTTGACTTAAAGTGATGGAGACAGCATGAGATTTAACGGCGTCTTAAAATTCGTTTTAATTTGGCGTTTAAAAATTTGCACATGCAATTCTCATATTTCGTCGACTGCAGTCCGAATTGAAAATCAAAATAGAAAAGATATTTTAATAGATTATTAATATCGGAATTGATTGATTGATAGATATATTTTTATAGAGACTAATAGTGTTGGTGCTGTCATCGTGCCACCACGGCGCGGTCTTAAATCATGCTATCGAAGTTTTCAAACTGACTGTTTATTTTAATAATAAGCTGTCGGTTTGAAAACTATTATATAACATAACAATAAAGTTCAAATTCACATAAATGAAAATGAATAAATTTCTTTGCAAATGTCAAATAATAATAAAATGAGAATGACAAATCAGTATAGCCATATACATGAATAATATACAAAAATTAATCAGTTTTGTTTTTGTTTTGTTTTGTGAAAGTTAAGGTCGTCTATGAATAATCGTTACGTTTACATAATTTTTATTTGTGAATACTTGACGACTTATCGAGCGCTTTCCTGCATCTTTGGTGCATTGGTGCTGAAGAGAATAGAACCATAAATAACGAGTTACTTAGCTGTGAGCCTGCGCTCGCAGACGGCACGGCGTGGCAAGGCATACTTCGCCATGCCGAAGGATCCTGTGGCATCACGCGGCATGCCAAACAAGTCAAGACGCGCTCGTGCATGAGGCGCTGATATCGCCGCTGCAACGGATTAGATTCAACCTTGTTTCAATATCTTAGCACTCACATTCCTTTAACAACATAAAGTAACCTATGCGTTTCACGTGATGCAGCAGCGTGCCACGGTGTCACGCGAGACGTTTGGGTCTATTCGTGTTGAAACAAAGGAATGTCAGTGCTAAGATCATTAAAATAACGTCGAAAATCTTTTTTCCACGAAAAAAATGCCGTGACGTCTGTGAGCGCAGGTCCTTATGCTAGTCTAGACTCTAGAATGACCGTTGTTAAAGTTACATAATATGTATATTTAATTATCTCACTCAGCGGACTGTTGCAGCTCCCTTAGTGAGATAAATAAGAGCCTAAAATTTATCAATGCCGGATGCTTTTTCGATTAAAATAAAGATATTAGTTAATTTGCAACCCCGCTAATTAAATACAATGATGTGTCTTACCTGGATTGAAGAGCACCTCCCACCCCACATGTGTCTTACCTGGATTGAAGAGCACCTCCCAACACCACAAAGGAAAGACACACCATCACATAACACACCATCGACGATAATATCGTCAATGGTGTGTCTTTCCTAGAATAGTCGTGTTGGGAGTAGTGGTGCCGGCAGTAGTGATGTTGGGAGTAGTGGTGCTGGGATTAGTGGTGACGGGATTGGTGCACGCAATTGAGGGAGGGTGGGAGGTGCTCTTCAATCCAGGTAAGACATATTGTGTTTAATTAGCGGATGGTTGCAAATTAATTAATGTCTTTATTATAATGGATTTCCGCAAAGTAACGCCTGATTCAATCAATTGCTTCTTAGATTATTACGAGTATGTAAAATAAAGTAATTCGTGTCGAGGTTATCTGCAGTAGAACAATAACTGGCTTAGCTATAGACTAGTGAAGAGGCATTGAGAAGGGGAATACGGGGACAGACCCCGTACCCGGTATGGCAAGCATTGTGGATGGAGTTTGTGGACGTTGAAATGTTGCGGCGGCGATAATGTTAGTAGCGTAATGAAAAAGTTAAATGCATTGCTAATGGTCACTGCGGTCGCCGACCTACCTACAAGGTGACAAGTGTGCCGATTATGTAAAATATTTCTCATAGCGTTAGCGCCAGCTATAGGCTAAGCACTCGTGGTATATTTCGCCGTTTTCCGTCGGCACCAATGAATCGTTAGTTTATTTATCACTTGCTCAGCGGTGAATGAACACGTCGAGAGGAAACTTGCTTGTCTGAGGAATAAAATACTTACGATATCTAATCCACGCACCAGAACCGGACTTATTGCTTTCCTAATCGTACCAGTAATGAGTAATAACGAGATGAGACCTGTGCCCAACGTGCGTGGCGTACTTTTTACTTTTCTGTTTCTTTTATATGCCAGCATCATCTCAAATAGAAGTCTATAGTATCTGCCTATCACCTCTCTGGGTGATAGGCGTTAAAGTTTATGATAAGTTATGTTTTTCTTATAATCAAAGTGAAAACAATCAACAGCTCCTATGGCGTATTACGGATACGTTTATTGTATACTTAGCTAGCTAGGTATAATAATATGGGGAAATTTCTGTAGACATCATTAAAGTTTTCATTGCGTCAAAAAAATGTCTACGTGCAATATGTAATAAGGCCACTCATGAGTCGTGCAAATCAATATATAGATATTCGAAAGTGCTAACACTCCCGTGCATATACATCCCTTAAACAGCAAAATTTGTTAAAAATAAGCCCGAGCTGTTTATAACTGCTGGAGATATTATCAAATCTAAACCTTTGAGGCATCCAGATAAATTAGTCATTGATAAAATACCAAAAATAGTTAATTAACATAAGAATTGCTATGCAATGTGCATAAAAGTATTAACGCTATACCCAATAACATAAAACTAAAACCAAGGAAGAGTTTCGGGAACGAGTTGAAAAAGTGGCTATTTAATAAATCTTTTTTATTCGGTTAGTAGTTGTTGGAAAAACAATATCTTTAAATTTTAGACCATTTTTTTAATAATATTATTTTAATACTTAATATATAATGTGACATGAAAATATAAATATTAATGTTGTGATAGTGCAAATAATAGTAAATGTTTTTGTTTTATTATGTTACTTTCTAGTTTTTTTTTAATTTTTTTGGTTAATTATTATCAATGTTTTTTTTTTGTAATTTTAATCTATATTGTACTTAATAATACTTAATGTTTTTAAATTTCAATCATTTTGTACGCCAGAAATAGTTAATGTGTTGTACTATATTTTTTATAATAACTGTAAAACCACACACATTACGAAAAATAACGAAATAAATAAATAAAAAATATTTTATTCAGTTTAGGCTTAGCTAATGTTCTCATGAACGTAAAAATCTACCATCGGTTCCAAAAGTGGAACCTTTACAAAGAAAAATGGGCTTGAAGCTTTTGGGTCTTTTTTGCGTTTTGTGCATTGTTTAAATCATGAGAGATTGACTGCCTCCTTGGTCGAATGGTGGTAAAGCGCCTGATGATTTACGTGGTGGAAATCTTGGGTCGGGCCTAAATCGGAATATTTCTGTTAAGAAATTCTCATTACCGCACAGTTTCACCATCGCACATCACGACAAAACTCGCGATACCATCCATACCATCTGGATGACTGGCGGTTCACCACTAAGCGATTTAAAAGAAGTTTTCTTCCTCGCACAACTTCCTTGTGGAATCAATTACCACCAGAGATTTTTCCGGACCGATACGACTTAGGGACCTTCAAGAAAAAAGCCTACTCCTTTTTAAAAGGCCATCAACGCATCTGCAATTCCCCTGGTGTTGCAGTTGTTCATGGGCGGCGGTAATCACTTACCATCGGGTGAGCCGTATGCTCGTTTGCCATCTTTCCTATAAAAGAAATTTGTAGCCCGGAGTTAGAAACGTTGTCACACTTCGCCGGCAAATCGACAATGGCAGTACCGACTTGCATCTTTAATACTGCTGCTCCTCGCCGGTCTGGAAATGAATTTTAAAAAACCCCCCCCCCGGGAAAAAACAAACAAAAAAAAAAAATAAAAAAAAAAAAAAAAATCCTCTCACACACTAAATTAAAAAAAAAAAAAAAAAAAAATTTTAACTAATCATCAATTGAAATGTGAAATGGTTTTTTTTTTAATAAAATAAGGGTGACAAACGAGCACACAGTTCACAGTGATAGTAGGTGGATGCTGTGGCCCATAGACATCTACATTTATTCTCGATGAAGAATCAAAACGCAGTTGTGTTTTCACCCGTGAGGACTAAGATGGAATGTCTCGTTTCCAGTAAAAAGGGTCTCCGGTTTTCTACACTCATCATATGATGACCAAGGGGGGTTAATTAAAAAAATCACATTTTTATAAAACTTGGCCAGAATATTATTTTAGCATTTTAGAAAATACCAAGACCGGAATTTATGGAATATAGGCTAATATAGGGAAGTGCGGGGCGTTGAAAAAACTTTTAATCTATAGCTCTTGGTTTGAAATTTGGCGAAATTATTATTTTTGTCATCTTGAGTTCAACCGAGAACGAATTTTACGAAATTCCACTCACAAAGGGGATTGCAGGGGCGTTATATAATGAAAGTAAAAAAAATATAATGAATATTATTCAAATTAATCTGTAGATTTTTTTTGTGTGTATTTGAGTGGCTTTCTTGATGGTTTAAAAACTCAATTGGACCCGGTAGATGGCGCTGTTTGAGATCTAGAAATCATCCGTCCAAAGCCGGGGCGGATCCATAGTGTTATATATATGTAGTGTTATTATTGTAAAAAAATATATTAATCGAAATAAAAAATGATCTAATTTAAAGTATATTATTATTAATTTTACGTTCGAGTTCTCGTTATTGAAGTACTCGTAATAGCCTTATAACATCGCCTTAAGCCTCGAGCTTCAATCGCTAAAAGCCTTTTTGTGTCGGAAGTCGTCGCTTTAAGCCTTCAATAATTCGTTTCCTAGAACGGCAACAGCGGTGGTGTTCTGGCAGTGGGTGAACCAGTCGTTCAACGCGCTGGTGAACTACACGAACCGCAACGCGAACGCGCCGCTGAGCACGAAGCAGATGGGCGTGGCCTACGTGTCCGCCATGACCGCCGCCATGTCCACCGCGCTCACCTTCAAGTTCGTCATACAGAAGCGCGCCACTAACCCCATTTTAGCCGTGAGTTCATGAACTTGTGCGTTGTTTAATAATGTAATTTTACAACTTTGTCCTTAACCGATTATCACTTCACGCCTGTAGCACAGTGGCCGCGAAGTGGGTTTTCACCAGAGACATCATTTTAATAATATACACGATTTTTTTTTATAAAACTGAAGTGATAAAACAAACTTACAGTCCATCTGATGATAACTGGCTGCTGCAGTCCATACAGTTTTACGGGGTAGACCCACGCTGCAGCTATATTTGAGTTGTAGCACGAATGGGTCGGCTCGACCGGGGCAGGACCACGCCCACACAGAATACCAGCGTAAAATAGCAGCTTAATACTGCTGTGTTTCGTATGGTGAGTGTGGAGAACCGGAGACCCTTTTTACTGGAATGGAGGGTTTTCATTCTTAGACCTGTAGCGGCGCTGTCGTCGCACTACAAGCGAAACACACCGAAGCCTAAATCGCGCAATCAACATTCCGAATCATAAACAGTATATATAGAACTTCTCCGAACTATCACTCGGAGTGTTGGCCGCTCCTCGGGCAGAACACCTTGCCCGGAGGGAGATCTCCCCTTTTCCTTCTACAGCCACACACTCATTGGTGCGCATTTGAATTTGGATTCTTAATTATTGAGGATAAATATGGATGTCTATGGGCCACAGCATCCACTCACCATCAGGTGGACTGTGTGCTCGTTTGGCACCCAATGCTATAAAAAAATATACCTGCAGCTAACTTCAAACAAAAAAGGCTACATATGTGTTGTCACCTCTGAGGACTAGATAGAATTCCTCACAGCCTGTTGTATTGTATTGTACTGGCTCTCTTTACCCTTCAGACCGGACCACATCAGTGGAAGCACTGCTAGACCTGACCTACTCAAATGGACTCGTTGTACGTATAGTACATATATATAACACAGAATATATATATATATATATATATATATATATATATATATATATATATATATGTATATATATGAGCCGTAGTAGCTCAGTGGTTAACGCTCGCTGTAAATATAACAGAACGCGAGTAACCCTGGTTCGATCCCTCCGGCACCAATGAAATTGTTAATTGCAATTTTAAGTGCTGATTTACCACGTGCTCGGCGGTGAAGGAAAACATCGTGAGGAAACCTGCATGTCTGAGGAATAAGAAAAAAAAAATTTCGAAGACATGTGAAGTTCGTCAACACGCATTTGGGCAGCGCGGCGGACACTTCCTTGCCCTAAACCCTCTCAGAAATGAGGGGAGGCCTGAGCCCAGCAGTGGGACGTATACAGGCTGTAACTTTACTTTACTTTACTTTTATATATATATATATATATATATATATATATTCTGTGTTCGTAACTTTGGTAACAAACGACCACACAGTCCACCAGATCGTAAGTGGATGCTGTGACCCACGACATCTACATTTATCTTCGATTAATTAAAATTCAGATACGTTGTCTCTCTAGAAAAGGTCTCCAGTTTCCTACACTAGCCATAAGAAACACAGAAACATTAAGCTACTATTTTACGCTGGTATTCTGTGAGAGCGTGATCCATATACATCTGCGATCCAACTCCAAACAAAGAAGGATACAGGTGCATTGTCACCCCTGAGGACTAAGATGGAATGCCTTACAGCATGTAATAATACTGGTTCTCTACACCTTTCAGATCAGAACACTTCAATACAATCACTACTATTTGGCGGGAAAAAATATAGGTACTAGGCTGCACTAAAAGTGTCGGGAATGGAATGTTTCCACTGTTCCTGTCATATTAAAATATTTTTAATTGAAAACTCCTTGGTTTTAAAAATCGAATACCATTTATTTATTTAAAAAAAGATTCTCGGGCTTGTCACAAGGTTTTGTCAAACTTTTTTTAGTCGTTGAGAAAATGGAATTGACTCGAGAAAATTCAAGAGCGATGATTTATTATGACTTTCGAAGTGGTTTAACACAAAAACAGTGTGTTGACCGGATGATTTCTGCATTTGGTGATGAAGCCCCATCCAAATCCACAATTTATCGCTGGTTTGCTGAGTTTCTACGTGGACGTGTCAAGCTCAGTGATGATCCCCGTCAAGGTCGTCCAAAAACTGCAGTCACCCAAGAAAACGTTGATGCTGTGCGTAAGCTGATTGAGGAAGATCGATATGTGACATACCGCGAAATGCAGACACCTTTTAACTTTTAACTTAACAATTAGGTGTAAAAAAGTTGTATTTCCGATGGATACCGCATTCGCTCTGTGAAGAGCAAAAAGCGGCTCGCGTTACTTGCTGCGTCAGAACTCTCGAAAGATTCCACGCAGGATCCTCAAATGCTGTATACAACATCGTATCAGGTGAAGAATCCTGGATATACGCGTACAAACCCGAAACAAAAAACCAGTCACGAGTTTGAGTGTTTGAAAATGAGTTAAAGCCAACAAAAATTGTTCATTCACGGAGTGTTGCAAAAAAATGGTGGCCACGTTTGTCTCCAAAACCGGCCATGTTACGACTTTTCCTCTTGAGGGACAAATAACGGTTAATGCAGAATGGTATGCTAGCATTTGTTTGCCACAGGTCGTTTCTGAACTCCGTAAAGAGAACTGCAACCGCCGCATCATCCTCCATCACGGCAATGCGAGTTCTCACACCGCACACAGAACGAAAGAGTTTTTAGAGCAAGAAAACATAGAATTATTAGACCATCCGCCGTACAGCCCCGACCTAAGCCCTAATGATTTCTATACTTTCCCTAAAATAAAGAACAAATTGCGTGGACAGAGATTTTCATCACCTGAAGAATCTGTGGACGCCTACAAAACGGCCATTTTGGAGACCCCAACTTCCAATAGAATGGTTGCTTCAATGATTGGTTCCATCGTATGGAAAAATGTGTCTAATTTCGCGGAGAATACTTCGAAAAGTAATAAATACATTTTTAAATAGTAATGTTGTGCCACTTCCTTGATTCCCGAAATTTTCAGTGCCGCCATCGTATAAGAAGAAGTTGGTACCTATTCCGACGGACTCTTAGGCAGGGATGGGTTCTACCATATGACGGCGACTCTGAAAGTTTTTAGCACTGGCCACTTGTAAACGATTTAATAAAAGATCAACATCAAGAAAGAAACATCTGCTTTCGAAAATGGAACCCTTTGCCAATATTATTGTGTATGTAGGTATTTTATTAATTTAATTCATGTCATTTGTTTACGAATTGGCGGCAAATTAAATATTGTGTATGTCACCTCACCGTAAATTTAACGCGAGAAAATTTTCGTACAAGGTTTTTTTTAGACTTTCGATGTTATTTAAGTCAACAAGAAAGTTATGATAGACTTCGATTGGCCTTTCACGATGAAGCCCCATCTCGTGCCACTGTTTACAACTGGTTTAATGAGTGTTAACGTGGTCGCACTAATCTCACCGACGATCTGTGTGAGGGACGGCATTCTACGGCGACGACTGAAGATAACATAGTGTTGTGCGATGTATGATAGAGACTCAAAAAAGAGTGACTTAGCAGATTCGGACAAATCAAGTGCACAAAATCCTTCATGAACATTTAGCGGTCAGGAAGCTTTGTGCCCAGTGGATACCTCAAAATTTGACAGAGGTCCAAAAACTCCGTCGTGTTGATTGGTGTCGTGAAATGGTTCAAATAATTAACGGAATGACTCAAATGCTGTGTTCGACATACTTACGCGTTACGAAAGCTGGATTTATTGTTATGATCCTGAAACTAAGTCACAGTCTGCTGTCTGGGTGTTTTCTTCCGAGGAGTTGCCAACTAAAGTGAAGAGAGGCCGAAGCATGGGAAAAAAGATGGTGGTCTCGTTCTTCGGAAGGACAGGTCATTTCGCAACAATTCTTTTAGAGGATCGAAAAACAGTTACTGCAGAGTGGTACACTAACAATTGTTTGTCACTTGTCTTGGAAAAAGTCGGGAGAAACGACCTTGCAGTAGGATCCTCCTTCATCACGACAACGCCTCGTCGCACACTGCCACGCAAACAATCGACTACTTGGCACCGACAGACGTGGAATTACTAGGTCACCCGCCCTATAACCCCGACCTCGCCTTTTTATATTTATTTTCGAAAATAAAAGAAAAACTTCGAGGAAAACGTTTAATGGACACCTAGGAAGCATTGGCTGCGTTATAAAATGCCGTCGAAGAGACCCCTAAGTACGAGTGGATAAAGTGCTTTTCTCAGTGGTTCTATCGGATGCAGCGATGTATTGATGTAAATGGACACTATTTTGAAAAGATATAATAAAACTAATAACTTGCTAGTTTGTTTTCTAAGAACTTTCAGTGTCACCCTGGTATCACATCGTAATAGTGTAGGTAGGTAGTAGGCTATTGATATAGTAATGCTGAGTCTGGTAAAATTTTTGGTTCCAGAGATTCGTGCCTTTCGTTGCGGTTGCAGCCGCTAACTGGGTCAACATCCCGCTTATGAGGCAGAACGAAATCTTACTAGGTATGTATGTGTATACATGGGAAATTAAAATTTGGAGAAAAAGTTTGTTATTCCCACATCTTCACCTGTGTGGTACACTGAAAGTATTGCGTCACTCATATATAAACTATATATAACTAATATATTTACTGCTTTATAAAGTTGACTAGAAGTAGTACAGGTTTTTTCATCCCTTCAAACCAAATTTGAAAACATAAGGACCATCATTGGTCTGACGGCACGTTTCTCACGTGCTGGTTTTAAAAGCTATCGCGCCTCTTCTGGCTCCGTAAATATTAAACCTCTTATCAAATCTTTGATATTTGGAAAACAAAGAAATCACACAGTGCGACGTCTCCATATTTTGATGCTTCACCAAAGCTTTGTAATTTTTTTCTATTTTTAACCGACTTCAAAAGGAGGTACTCAATTCGACTGTGTGCTTTTATATGTGTTACCTCAGAACTTTTTGCTGGGTGTACCGAAAGTTGGTCCTTCTCGTATGGTCCCATATAAGTTTGATCAAGATCTGACGAGTGATTTTTGAGTTATCCTTAATAATGCGTATTTAATTGACTTCGAATACATTGATGATGTTCTTATTTTATTTATGTTGAAGTCGGTTGTACAAAATGGTTAGTGATTTTGTTTAAAAAAAAATACAAGGCTATATACCTCCCACTGCTGGGAACAGACCTCCTCTCATTTGTGAGAGAGTTTTATGTCAACGAAATGTCTGCCGCGCTACCCCAATGCGTGTTGGCGAACTTTACACTTCGAAATATTTTTTCTTATTTCTCAGACGTGCAGGTTTCCTCACTATATTTTCTTTCACCGCCGAGCACGTGGCACATCAACCACTTAAAATTGCCATTAACGATTTCATATTTATTAATTGCAATTTTAAGTTCCGATTTATCACACGCTCGGCGGTGAAGGAAAATATTGTGAGGAAACTTGCATGACTGCGAAATTATAATAAAACTTTTCGAAAACAGAATAGAACAATTTTTATTCAATGTAAATATTTCATGTATTATTTATTGAGTAATTTTTTACTTTTACGACTGGGTCTGAAAAAACCTCTGTCCTGGAAAGAACCAGTAAGGAAAACGCGAGGGTTTTACGGAATATTCCATAAAACTCTCTCAGAAACGAGAGGGAGTCGGTGTCCAGTTGTGGAACACATATTTTTTTAAATAGGATAAAGATGACAAACGAGCACACAGTCCAACTGATGGTAAGTGATTGACGGCCCATAGACATCTACATCTATCCTCTATTAAGAATTTAAATGCAGATGCGTTGTCACCCCTGAGGACTAAAGTGGAATACCTCGTTTTCAGTAAAATGGGTTTCCGGTTTTCTACACTCACCATACAAAACACAGCAGTGGAATCAACCCGTTCGTGCTACGACAAGACATATGTTGTAACTTTATTATTTTTGTTACTTTCGCAGGCTTAGAGGTGACGGATGAAAATGGAAAAGTCATAGGGAAGTCGCAAATAGCGCCCATTAAGGGTATATCGCAAGTTGTGACGTCCAGGTAAGTTCATAAACATATATAGGGACGTAGAAATATGCTTTATTACCATCAATACAGTCACAAAATATACATTTAGGAATAAATAAAAACTAGAAGTTTAGAGAAGTAATAAATGGTAGTGAAAGTTGAGTGTGGTAGAAGAAGCACGAAAGTAGAATAAATTCTGTAGAAATGCGGTCTTTAAGGAGTATGTTAGGGCTGAATCTGAATGACAGGGTGAGAAATCGCGTGATAAGAGAAAAATGTGGTGTGCGGGATGATGTTATGACCAGGATTAATAAAGGAGTGCTTCGGTGGTTTGGTCATGTAGAAAGAATGAACGAGGAAAGGGTGACAAAGCAAAATTTATATTGCAGATGTGAACAACAGAGATGACGAAGGTTTATCGAGCAAACTGGCGATATTTTGAAAATGGGCCACATTAGGAGTACCCTTAACCGCGAGGGTGTATGTGTAGATATATGGATGTAAAGGAGGCGAGGGAGGTGTGTCAGGATTGTGCCAAAAGGAAGTCCGTAGTCTCTGCCTACCCCTCTGGGTGACAACCGTGAGTGTTTATGTTATGTTATAAAAACATACAAGATACAAGAAGGAAATCATAAATAAAAATAATTCTCAGCAAGACAGCATATACTCATCACGACGTTTTAAGTCGAACGAGTCTAAGTGCTCTCGAGAGCGCTGGGATTTGGGGTTCAGCATTTTTGATATTGAAACGCGCTATTATTCGATATGTTTGACAGTTTTACATCCATCGTATTTCATATATTTTTACACGCGGTCGAGTCATGCTGCAGTTATGCTATGATTGTAGCACGAATGGAAAAGCCCACGTTCTCACAGAAGGGTGTTTCGTATGAAAGTGTAGAACACCGTAGACCCTTGTTATTGGAACGAGTCATTCCATCTTAGTCGTCAACTGCATTTTGATTCTTAATCGAGGACGAATGTAGATCTCAATGGACCACAGCAACTACTTACCATCAGGTGGACTGTGTGCTCTTTTGTCACCGTTATACTATAAAAAAATGTCACCATCATTATTAAATCCCATCACAAGTCCATTGTTAAACGTAGACATTCCCCAAGGTATGCCTCATCACCACCTTTAATCTATAAATTGTGCATCTTGAACGCGAAGGGGAGAGGTTGGGCTTTACTGTCGACTTGACAAGGTCATGCTACCTGCTTTCATTAAATCTGGCTTATTATTTTTATAATACACTAGAAGTCTACGCTAGACAAGCCGGGCATGAGTCGAGCACAAATTCGAATAGTGTGGACCAACTTGCAAGCCTCGAACGAGCGCGCTTCAAGCGTTTGGTTCGTGCTCGACTGTGCTCCGCCTATATTTTTAATAGAATAAGGTTGACAAACGAGCACACTCCACCTGATGGTAAGTGGATGCTGTGGCCCATAGACATCTACATTTATCCTCGATTAAGAATCAAAACGCAGATGCGTTGTCACCTCTGAGGACTACGATGGAATTCCTCGTTTTCAGTAAAAAAGGGTCTCCGGATCTCTACACTCACCAAACGAAACACAGCAGTATTAAGCTGCTATTTTACGGTGGTATTCTGTGAGAGCGTGGTCCTTCCCCGGTCGAGCCGACCCATTCGTGCTACAACCATAATATAGCTGCAGCGTGGCTCTACCACGTATAAAATTGACGGTTTTTTGACGAACACAAAGGGATTTGTATTGCATGCATCGATTTGCATGTTGTAGGCTCGTTGTACGTTCACACTTGACACCGCGAGTAGAACAGCTTGTCTTGTACTCAGCTCATGCTCGGTTCCTCTAGCATAGACCCACGTTTATACGTAAATAAAAGCACGTTAATATTAAAAGAAAACACTAGTTAATAAAATTGCTACCTTTATTTAGCTCTGGAGTTATTTACATGCCATTAAGACAGGATAATGTCTGTCTGTATGTTTGTCCGAGCTAGGCTTTGAATGGCTGAACCGATCGTATTGAAACTTCACAATATCTGTTTGTGAATTTTCAATACATTTGAAGGAAAGAGCATTGCTAGGAGTGATCGTGTGACCGAGTGACCGTGGAAAATGGTACTTTTTTACCATTAAGCTTTCGTTGGACTAATTTTCCGTCTCTTTTTGGTAAAGGGTATTATAACAGTTTTATCACCATTAACTGATAAACTGTTATCCCTACACCAGTTATTTATGGTGTTTAGGGCTCTTTGTATTATTGACGATAAAGTACTTTGGCAAAAGTCCCTCGCAATGATCACAAGGTCATCAGCATAACCCAATGTGTCAATGCGTAGGTCTGCCATTTTGTACAATAGTTGGTCTACCGCAAGAGTCCAAAGAAGGGGTGACAAAACACCTCCTTGTGGGCAGCCTCTTGTGATTGCAACCTCAATCGAAGTTTGAAACAGCGCTATTTTTGCCTTTCTGTTTGAGAGCATCGACTTCACCCATCTGATGGTTGTGGGGTCAACATTTTTAGATGTTAGGCCCCCAATCAGCAGTGATGTGGGGCTACTGTCGAAGGCGCCCTCAATATCTAGAAAGGCACAAAGAGCTATTTCTTTATCCTCCAGTGCTTTTTCGACCCTGTCAATGACACTGATCAGGGCTGTTTCCGTAGATTTGCCTCTACGGTAAGCATGCTGGTTGTGCCTCGTAGCCAGAGCTACATCCCTTATATATCTATCTATAACCTTTTCCAATGTCTTAAGAAGAAAGGAAGATAGGCTTATAGGTCAAAAGGACTTTGGTAAAGCGTAGTCCTTTCTACCAGCCTTAGGTATAAGTAGAACCTTGACAATTGTCCATCGTTCTGGAATATATCCCTATGCAAAACTTGTTCTGAAGATTTTCACCAGATAAGGAAGAAGGATGTCGATACCCCTCTGTAGTTGGGTGGGAATTATTCCATCCTCCCCGCTTGATTTAAATGGTTCAAAGGAGTCAACAGCCCACTGCACCAGGTTTGGCCTTATTATCCTTGCAGCCCTACGTCAGTCCTCATTGCAAGGCCTTCGTAGGGCTCTGAAAGAGTTCAAGGCTGAAGTCTTGTATGACCCTGGGAAATGGGTTGACGCTAGTAACTCCAATGTTTCTGTTACATTATTAGTGAAGTTACCATCTGGCTTTTTAAGAAGCCCGATCTGATTAGGTTTAGCTTTCGATAGCATCTTGTGTAGTCTTGCACTGTGAGGCAAAGATTCAACTTCCTCGCATAGCTTCCTCCACGACGCTCTCTTGGCTTTCCTGATTTCTTTATTATATTCAGTTAGGGCTGCACTATAAATATCCCACTCTTTGGTTTTCTTAGCCCTATTAAATAGTTTCCTGGTCTTTTCCCTAAGTTCTTTCAGCTTAGAATTCCACCAAGAAACTTTTCGTGTTGAGGTCTTGGTTTTGACGGGACAACTGTCCTCGAAGGCTTCACGGATACCTACGGTTACTGTCTCCGTCGCCAACTCCAGACCTTCAATTGTTTTGATGCTTTTAGGAAACGTTTCCAAATTTCTCCTTAGGCTATCTCCGTAGATATCCCAGGAGGTCGCTTTCGGATCCCTAAAAGTAACGGTTTCAAAGGTTGGTGATGCTCCAGTCACAAACTTAATGTGCTTGTGATCAGACATCGAGTTTTCGCTACTAACATGCCAGTCATTTATCCGCCTGGACATGTTATTGGTAGCAAAGGTTATGTCACTCTAACACTTCTTGCCTTAGCACGCGTAACAAAGGTTGGTGTACAACCTAAGTTTAGGCTTACCAGGCGGTTGTAGATGAGAAAATCATAAAGTAACTCACTTTTTTCGTTGATGTTGGTGCTTCCCCAGGCTGTGTGGTGAGCATTAGCATCACAACCCACCACAAGTTCGGCGTTGTGTTTTCGGGCGAACTCCGCCACTCGCTCTAACTCGATGGTAGGATCTGAGTTCTCTCCGGGAAGATATGCTGAGCTAATGATTACTCTGGCCCCTGTGCATCCCTTGAGATTTATGAAGGCTGTAACCAAATCATCATTGCAGTACTCTGGAACAGCTAAAAGTTCAATATTTTTACTATAAATTGTACAAGCTCTGGGTCTACTGCCTTTGGTATTGACAAGAATCTTACCGGCAGCAGCCGCCAATCCCAGAACTTGACCGTTGGCCACCCAAGGCTCTTGTATAAGGGCGAGGTCAATGTTGTCCTCTGCAAAGCAAACCTCCACCACAGCAGAAGCAGCTGCTGCATGGTGAAGATTTGCTTGGAGGACCCTCGTCTTACCCTTGGGGTTAGCCATTTATGGGCGTGGGGGGGGGGGCATGGATCTTTTCCTCCTGTTGAGGACGAGGACGTCCTTTGCCGCCGCCCCCCTTAACTTGACCTCGCCTTACCTTTCGTCGAACCGCTCCCACCTCCCCTCCCCTCCGGCCTGGACGACACCAGCGGAGGCCGTCGGACCGAGGCGAAATCTGCGCCTTGGGTATTCGTCACTCTCACCGGTGGCGTTCCAGCCTCACACCGAGAGGTGGAGGGCTGGGGGGAGTGAGTTTGGGGTTGGGACAGTTGGGGCTCCATTGCCGCGTCAGAACCTTCCTTGACTTTAAAAGTTATCATCTTAAAGCCAAGTATGACTCTGCCGCCTGCCTTCCGAAGAGCCTCCGCCGATGGGTCGTATAGAGAAAAGGTTACTAAGAACCCATTCTCCTCGTCCCTACGGTGGAGGATTCTCCGTAAGCTCAGTATGGAACCCTTCATTTTGTGCCCTGAACAGCACAGCCGCCTGCTCTGGAGAGTCGGCTTCGCTGCGGGGCAAGTAGGTAATGCCCAGCTGAGGCTTAGGCAGTTCGCCCTCGGGTATTACCGAGAGTTCTGCCTCCGGCCAGGGCTTTAGTTTTCCGGTTTATTTCACCCACAATCCAGTCCTGGCTTGCCTTATTCAGGCACGTTACCAGAATCCAACCTGGCTTGTGTGTGAAACCCGAAAATTTTGGTCCCATTCCTGATTGCGACCCACAGGCCGTCTTAGCGATGGCCTGTGTTAGTAGTGCCCGGTGGACCAGCCGCATCTGCTCCACACTCATAGGATTCGAATTGCGAATTCCTATACGTGCGGAGCCAGCTACGGCACTGAAGCTGAGCTTCTTCTCCTCCGTTGCCACCTTCACAGTCTTCCTGGGCTGGTCTTTGGGGGACTCTTCCTCAGACCGACTGCGTTTTTTCGCCTTCGGAACTGGGGGAGGCTTGGGCAGAGGAATTTCGTTCCAAGGCTTCTGGCAGAGAGAGAGAGGGCCTCTTCGGCTCCAATCTCAGATGCTATCAGCCTTCGGTATCTTTTCCTCGCTGCCCCACTAAGCTTATAAGGCCTAGCGATCTTTTTCTTTTCCTCTCCCTGGTTCGTTTCCGATTGTGGTTCGGCTGCAAACGTGCCCTCCACTTCACGGCTCGTCCCAGATTGGGGCGCACTGTTGCAGGGTGTTGGTGAGGCTAAAAGGGCCTCTTCCAAACCTGCAGCTAATTCCATTAAAGGAGACTTCTCATTGTCTTTTACAAAATGTCGGTTTTCATCCATTTTGTTCCCACGATTAGCTAAGGAAATACTTGGTCCCCCCCGGGCAGAGCCCCCGCATGCCGAGGGAAGGGCTAAAATACTACCCGAATCGCCCTGGTCTCGGGTAGGCACCGTTTGCGACTGGACTCCCTCCAGCCACGCATCCATCGGCATGGTACGCTTACACCTTGGATTGGGTTAAGATAGGAAAAGGGGGGAGGGATAAAAGAAAGGAAAAAGAGGATCGTCCGAGTGTTTCTGTTTTGTCTGTTTCCTATTGAACCAGATCAAATAACAGGCGGCAACCACGTGAAGGAGAACTCCTCAGACTTGCCCTGGGGATCAACACGACCTGCGCTCTCCCCCAGAGCCATACGCCAAACTGCTCGCCGGACAGGAGAGCAGAATAGGTATTAATCTAGTCCTATTTATAATATCAAAAAGTTAGGAGTAGACTAACCCCCGCCCATAATTATGTAACTTAGACCTCATTAAGTTGTGAGCAAAATCGGTCAAGTCGTTTATTGTGCCGAATGAAAAATAGTATAAAATATTAGAACATTGATATTTTTTTGTTCTTTCCACTGGGAAGTTAGTCGTGTGAACCTTTCGGGTCGCATCTAGACCGCTTTTATTTTTAAATCTTAATGCCGTCATATTAATAGAATGCTCGAATAAAATGCTGGCAAATAAACATGATAACTACCTGTGATTATCAAATAAATTTTTCACGAATTCATCATACATACCCGTTGATAAAACCACGCTGCAGTTATATTAGTTGTAGCACGAATGAGTCGGTTCGACAGGAAAGACTGCACTCTCACAAAATACTAGCGTAAGATAGCAGCTTAATGCTGCTGTGTTTCGTATAGTGAGTGTAGAGAACCGGAGACCCTTTTTATTGGAAACAAAGCATTCCATCTTAGTCATGAGGGGTGACAACGTATCTGCGTTTTGATTCTTAATCGAGGACAAATGTAGATGTCTATGAGCTACAGCATCTATATACCGTCAGATGGCGTGTGTGCTCGTTTGTCACCTTTATTCTATAAAAAATCATTACATTTGATTTGATTCGATTTCATTCGGTACTATGTTAAGTATTGCATACAAATACATTGCACGGATTTGTTTCAGGATCGTAATGTGTGCGCCGGGTATGCTTCTGTTACCTGTGATAATGGAGAGAATCGAACCCAAGCCCTGGATGCAGAGGATCAAGAAGGCGCACATTCTTATTCAGACGGCCATAGTGGGCGTTTTGTGAGTATATCGATACTACTTATCGTGTATTTATAATATGTTAGGAGGGTTGGGTATGATGTGTATTAAAATATTGTATGATGTTTTTTTTATAGAAGAGGGGGCAAACGAGCATATGCGGCTCACCTGATGTTAAGTAACTGCCGCCGCCCATGATCAACCGCAAAAGTGCGTTGCCGGCCCTTTAGAAAGGAGTACGCTCTTTTCTTGAAGGTCCCCGGGTCGTATCGGTCCGGAAAAATCGCTGGTGGTAAACTATTCACAGAGAGGTTGTACGCGGAAGAAAACTCCTCTTGAAACGTACAGTGGTGGACCGCCAAGGATCCAGATGGTATGGATGGTATCGGGACGTTTGCCGCGTAGTGGGTTCACGAAATTTGGCGGCTGGGATTAATCAGAACAATTCCTCAGAGCACTCTCCATGGTATATGCGAAAGAAAATACAAAGAGATGCAAAATCTCTTCGCAGTGCCAGTGAATCGAGCCGATCGGAAAGCACTCGGTCGTCGACGATTCGAGCCGCTCTGCGCTGGATGCGGTCAAGTGGAAGGAGCTGGTACTGGGGAGCCCCAGCCCAAAGATGGGAACAGTATTCCATGTGCGGCCGAACCTGCGCCTTGTAAAGTTGTAGGCGGTGTGCCGGCATGATAAACTATCCCGCTCTGCTGAGCACGCCAAGCTTTTTAGAGGCCAATTTGGCCTTCTCTTCTAAGTGACCACGAAACTGCACGTCACTCGATATGTTGACGCCGAGGATTCCGATACTGGCTAAGGCAACAAGGGGAGTGCCTTGAAACTGAAGAGATACGACAAAGGGGTTCTTTTTAGCGGTTAACGCGCAAACTTGTGTCTTCTGGGGGTTAAACTGGACTAGATTTAGTCGCCCCCAATCCGAGACTCTGTAGTCAGCAAAGACTCGACTTCAGACACAAGTTTGTCCCGGCACTCGGAGACGTTTTCCCGAGAAATATTGGCCGTGCCAATATTTCTCAAATTTTTTCGAAAATATGGATATGCAGAAGAAACAGCGTTGGCGATAGCACGCAGCCTTGTGGAACACCAGCATTAATAGACTTGCAATCGGAGCTTGCACCGTCTACAACGACCTTGATGCTCCGATCTGCAAGAAAACTGGTGATCTTTGCCCCCCGATCTTTTGATGCTTTGCCCCCCCCCCCCCCCAAGAATACGCGGGGCAGCCTGAGCACCCACGCTCAGAAGTGGAGAAACATGGTCGTGGATGCTCAGCGAGGGATTCTCCAGGGGTGCTGGTACCCCCCTGGGGTAGTCTATCATCATTTAATTCCGCTACCATGTTGATGGGGGGGGGGAAATGTGCCTCCGGCCACCTGCACTCACCAGACGAAACGCGAAAGCAGAGCTTCCACTTCACGCTGGTATTCTGTGAGGTCGTGGTACCACCCCGGTCTTGAGCCGGCCCATACGTGCAACAACAAAGCTGCCGCGTGGCTCTACCACTGTTAAATGTGTATTGAGACGAGTAATAGGACTGAATTTAGATGGGGTTGTGATATAGTGTGGTATAATATGGTAGTTTGACGTATGAAGTCAAATAATAAATTTTATTACTTTAAGATATAAATTTATTTAATCATACTGAATAAGGTAGCTTCAGGATGTTATCAAATCTAGCATTAACAAAATAATTAGCTTAGGCTTAGCATGTTATTGGTAAATTTGTAAAAGTTGAGACATGAAAGTAAAAAAATTAAAATTTAATATTCAAGAACTGAAGGGTTAGCTATGACTTTGGGACGTCAAAAATCTCAGTTTCCTCCGTGACCATGGGTGCTGTCAAGCACCCGAAACATTGGAATTAAAAATAATTTAATTAAACGTGATATAATTAGTAATAAATTTATACGGATAAATAGATTTATTCAATGAATAATAATAACTTCCCTTATGTTAGTATATTAAATATATATTTAAGTAGGTATATTTATCATTTCCTTTTATATATTTATTCAGTCCAACCAGATGAGAATGCTCTATTAATACCCTGGACATAATAATAATAAAGGCGTAAGGAAGTGATGATCCCGTCGCCTGCAGACGTAACAGTTATGTGACAAAACTGCTACGTCGGCGTAGTCAGTTAGCGCCCTGCCAAGAGATGTGAGCGCAGTGTCTGGGCAAAATTGAGGGTCCGTTTGTGCATATGGCCGAACCACGAAACGGTGTCGGACCTGGGTGACGCCCGTTAATTGGCGCTCATAAAATGGATGATGGCGCAATGGGCTGCTGCCTGGAGGTGCGCGCGCGGCAAATGTCGCCCCATCACGTGTCTACATACATACACGTGTATATATACATGACACTAACATCCATTTCGAGCGTGAGAATCATTCGTCACCTGGACTCAAATCAGGTGATGTCGCGCGCTCAAAATGGATGGTAATGGATGGGGCGTCGCGGTACCAAGGAACAACTCCTTATTGATGCGGTCATTGGCAATCTGGTTTAACGCAACCGTCGGAACTTCTCCACCGCCTAGATACTCTTCAGAAAGGCATTTGACTCGGTGCCTCATACATAGCTGAAGAGGATTCTCGAGCTGTACAAGGTCGACTGTACAGTTAAGGACTTCCTGGGCATTGGAGTACTGATTCTGAAGCACGCAGTTGAAACACTGCCAACTTTCTGACTTTCGACTATTACAGAGAATTTCTTGACAGAAAAAGTAAGCTGATTTGAAACCATTTTTCATGGTTTGGGGATTTGAGATTTGAAACCATGGTTAACAGTCGTTTCGGCCACTAGACCAAGGAGGTAGCAAATGATACTGTAGCCGGTATTTAGAGACAATCTTAAGTTTAAACTAAAACTCGACCTTGTAAATATTTGAATCTAGACCATATTAACCGAAATGGAGTTTAAGTTTTTAAATACCGTCTAATTATGTTTGCATATCGCCCTACACCCATTATCCAATACAGCCTATAAAAGTCCACTGCTAATCATAAGCCTCCCCCATGGATTGCCTCTTATTGGGGATTCTGCCATAGTTGCCACGCTTGGCAAGCGTGATGGCAAACGCAGTTTTTTTTAATAACTTTGAGTTGTTATCTGGAAGATGCTGCCCATGTACATTTTCAGTTTCCCTCTATCATCTCTAACGACATTCACGGGACGATATAGGAGAGTGTGTTAACATTTCTTAACAAGTAGTATGCAGTTACTATCATGTATCTGGTCGCTCATTTTTGTATACCTAAGAATGTTTTAAATTAATTGTTTAAAGTAAAAATGTTGTTTGCAGCCTAACATTCATGGTGCCTACCGCTTGCGCGCTGTTCCCTCAGAGATGGTGAGTACAAATCATAAATCATATCATAATCATAGACACTCACGCTTGTCACCCAGAGGGGTGCGCAGAGACTACAGACTTCCATTTAACACAATCCTGATACACCTCTCTCGTCTCCTTCACATCCATATACCTACGCGTACATGCTCGTCGGTTAAGGATACTCTTAATTTGGCCCATTTTCAATATATGCCTATATATTGATAAACTTTCGCCTAGGACGTCCCATCACTAATACCTAAATTAGCTTTGTCACTCTATCCTCGTTAATTCCTTCTAATGACCAAACCACCGAAGCATTCGTTCACATCATCTTGCAAACCACACTCATCACACAAGTAAGTACAAACTTTGATATAAAACTGTGTTTGATATAAATCTTAAAACTGTACTTAAAACAGAAATAAGCAGACGAAACGCTGCCCGGTTATATATATATATATATATATATATATATATATATATATATATATATATATATATATATATATATATAATATATATATATATATATATATATATATATATATACATAGTTTATAAATAAAACGCGATATAAAAACGGAGAACAGCGTCGAAGGTGCTATAAGTTTATTCATCCGCCTGCCAAACTTGACGAAACATGTCTAACAGTGGATTTTTGCGAGCTCATGTAAAAAGAAGAAGATTACTTACAACTTATTTACTTTTTATTACTTGTATCACGATTAAAAATAACATTCTTAAAAACAAATTCACTTTCAGTAAACTATCAACTGACACGATCAAGCGTTTCGAAAAAGAAAACTACGAGGAAATCGTGAAAAATACCGACGGCAAGCCTCCGAAATACGTGTACTTCAACAAGGGTCTGTAGAATAGCAAAAGAAATATCAATGTTATAGTACACAAGTGTATAATAACAAGCTGTGGAGCATTCCATCTTAGTCCTCATAGCTGAAAAATAACTACATAGTTCTATTTTTGAAGTTGATTGGTGTTGGTAATGGCTGCGGCAACCATTTACCCTCAGGTTGACTGTTTTGTTATCACTATTATGTTATAATCATACTGAGATTGAAGTAATAAACTCAGACCATCAAAAAATGTAGATTTAACATTATTTATATTTCAAGTGACGCGGTAATATGTTTTGAACTTATTATAGTAGTGTATATTATATTATAGTATATGCGCTTATACATTGGCATTTACTATGTTTGTATGGCGTAGAAATAAGCCTTTGTATGGGTGTTTGTCCTTAGGCTTACTAATAATTTATGTATGTAAAACACGTCTATGATATTGGAGAAATTTCCGTTGTTAAGGTAACGTTTGTTTTAGAATGAAAAATAAATCACCCAAATTTTAAGGAAGTTTTAAAATAATTGCAACATTTAGTTAACTCATTAAAGATAAGTACTTGACAGCTTTCTATATTTTTTGTTGGTTTGATTACGGGTTTAAGTTAAGGTAGGTAGTACTTAAGTAAATATCTCGAAATATTTAGTAGTTGTGCGAACAGTGTTCGTTTTGTATAACGTGTATGTGTGGAATCTTAAATTATTACAAACACAATAAACAATAGTAAAATATATCAAATTTTAACTTTTAAAAATAACTTTATTCAACAAAATCTAAGAAATACCTTTTGACGTTTCACATTAATCAAACTTTACACAAACATACTCACACGATTTAAATTAACCTTTTACGTAAATCCGAAGAATTATGAAGTTATCTATATTTCATATTACAATGTGTATAGTTTTTATCACTAATTTAAATTCGAAATTTTCAAACAAAGCAAAATATTAAAAAAATAACCAGTATCAACTTTTTTTTTTACTTGACGTCGTTTCAATGATATGTCACTATGTACATTACCGTAGTGTTTGGATGATTAAAATTTGTTGTTATGCGAATAATCGACAAAAATGTTCAAATAATTGAATCATTAATTTTTTTAATGTATTATTTGTGTAATGAAATTTTTATTTTTAAAATTCCTAAATTATGTACATAAATCATGAATAAAACAAGTTTAATGATTTCTTAAATTTACGCGAACACTACACATTGAATAAAACTATTATTTACGGATTTTATCGCGTTTAATTCAACTTTAATTTATTTTTATTATCCCGACGTTTCAAATGCAATATCCCTCTACAAGATGCAGGTGTGTACAAGCTAGATTGTGAATGTGGTCTCTCTTATATAGGTCAAACAAAAAGATCTATTAAAACCCGCGTGAAGGAACATATAGCTGACGTGAAGCACCGACGCTCCGGGAAGTCTGTGAACATGTTCAAGATCGTCCCCACCATTATATTAGATTTGATAAACCACAAATCCTCGCAAAAGAACACCGATTCCTACCAAGGATGATACGCGAGGATATTGAAATTAAAAAACATCCAAATTTCAATAGAGAAGATGGATGGGTGCTGCCAGCTGCTTGGGATCCTACAATTTACAAAATTAAACCCAAACCCAAGCATACCACTGCAAGACTTCATGATACTATAAGCTCATATTGCGTAAATCGGACCAAAAATTAATATTCAAAAACTGAAGGTAGCCGGACTAACTATGACATTGGGACGTCAAACATCTCAGTACCCTCCCCCCCCCCCGTGACCACGGGTGCTGTAAAGCACCCGAAACGTCGGGATAATAAAAATAAATTAAAGTTGAATTAAACGCCATAATATCCGTAAATCATAGTTTTATTCAATAAAACAAGTTTATTTTTTTTACTTTGTCAACGTAAATTTGTATAGGCAAAAAAACTATACAAGAGCGCGCTGAAAAAACCACAACGTAATTTCAATCTCCCGTCATTTCGGGAGCGTAATTTGGTGATTTTATGATTGTCTTCTTATTTTGTAACTCGACTTTAACTTTTTGAACTTTTTCTTTTATATTCGTTGAAGCATGTGCGCATGTCACAAAGGATGATTGGGCAAAAGTGGTAGAAAAAACAAAAATATTGATTATGGATGACTTTGAAAGAGACATTAATTTTGACTACATTATTGAAATTCAAATAGTAATTAATCTAAACAACGATAGCTCTACTAGTTGTACTGAAAGTGATTGAATAAATTTATTTTTAATCTAGTTTCAATCAAATTTGATAGCCTAGAATTAAGCAGTAACAACAAATTAATACGAAGAAATTGATAAATCTTGTGTTTTAAATTATCCGTTTTTAATTTATTCTGGTATTATTCAAACCAAAGTGTAAATGATTACCAACTCAAATAATCGATATCGATTTTTTTTAAGAATCGAACATTCTAGGTTCCCATTTTTTGGTTTGCATGCTTGGTGCAATAAGTCTGACAGCTGTCAAAATGTATTTCTTAGATTTGGTTGACTATAGTAAAGAAAATTTTTAGTAGACTAGGTAATGATGAATTTAGTACAATGATAACTTAAAATCACTCAGCTTCAGCACATAATGTGGCGTCATGCTGTCGCTTAAATTCCGATTTATTTATCTTTAACACACCAGTTTCACTTAAATAAAAGTTAAAACCTGCATTATATTTGCATTGCGTGTACTTAATGTAAATTCTGTTCAAAGATCTTCTCTCATTGCTGAAAAGATTTTACAAAATTACTAGTAACAATTTCATGGGTGCTGGGGAACTTGGTTTGCACGCATTTGAGGCGACTGTTTACCCCATGAGTTACCATGGCTTTCTTATCTAGATTATTATGTAAACAATTTAATTATTTTTAATTTTCGTTGGAAGTATTAGTAAAAACATGCGATGCGTTCGAAACTTCACAGTTTATTTAAAACTAGAGATCCGCCCCATCTTCGCACGAGTGATTTCTAGATCTCGAAAACAGCGCCACCTACCGGGTCCAATAGTGCATCTAAACCATCCAGGGACCCATTAAAATGCACACCAGAAATCCATCAAAATAGTTCGAGCCGTTTTTGAGTTTTAGCGAGAGAAGCAATTGATTTTTATAGTCTATATACAACACGTAACATAATTAACGCACTTTGATAAAGTAGTTTGTTCAGAATCGTTTACTGAATCGATTCCTATCATTTTTAATATAGGTAATTTTTCATCCCAAAAATAATTAAAACTACGTAAATTACAGTCACACTAAATCTGTACAGTCAAAACAAACTGAAATGGACCGTAACTTAAGGCAATAAAACTTTTAAGAGTGCAGTTTTATTTGTATTATTACTAATTTTGTCATTCAATAAAAATAAAGAAAAATGAACTTTATTTCAAGCACGTTAAAGTCTTTGCGTTCGTGGATTTGTACTGCGATCACAACATTCTTCCGGAATTAGTATAACTAATTTGATAAATAATTACTGCATAAAAATGTTTAACTAAAAATTCAGTGTATATATTATGATTATAACATAATATACCAATTGGGGTGTCTGAGGGTGTGTGTTAATTACGTTACATATTGTATATTGCATTATACATATAAACTTTCCTCTTGAATCATTCTGTCTATAGATGAAAACAGCATCAAAATCCGTTGCGTAGTTTAAAAGATCTAAGCGCACAGACGGCGGGCAGCGACTTTGTTTTATACAATGTAGAGAAGATATACTATGTTGAGAGGAACAGTAATAAAGCAGACAATATTTGATGAAAATGTTCAATACCTATACAGAGTGTATATTTCCATATGTTAAGTAAATGAATTTGTATAGAATAAGTAGAATCAAATTAGATATAGAATTGAGTAGAGTGGAGATGGGTAAGTAGTTGTTATTTATTTGTTAAGTAATACTAGATAACTACTAATCATGATAGTTATATGGTTAATATTAAATTGCTTTATTTATATTTATAATTCGATGATGGTTCACTTTTTGTGCTTTAATTGTGCTTCATATTTTTATTTCGCTTTTTTGCCTATTTTTAGTATTTTTGTATTTTTATAGTATTATTTGGTTAAGTCCAAAGATATGGAGTATTATTTTATAATCTGCAAATATTTCTATTGAAGAAAAATTAAAAAAATCTTTTACAAAAAATATAAAATAAATGAATCATGCTTATTTTTAATATCATTAATTAAAATAAAGTATGCGGTTAAAATACTTTTAATGGAATTGAAGGACAGTTATTTTTTTTTAAATAATCTATGAATTCATGTGAAATATGTTTTGAGCTAAACTGCTTGAGCTAAGTTGCTTAAGATACAAAAAAAACTTTTTCAGATAAATTATGACATATTTAGTTGAAAAATGATATATATAAAATGACCTGGTGGTATGCTTTATTCGTGTCTATTGTTGTCTTTTTGTTAAGTTAAAATAAAATTTGCGTATGAAAAAATATTTTTCTTTGTAGTTTTTTCATATACTTAATAAGTATTACACTGCCCATAGAAGTACAACATACAGCAAATGATGCAAATATAATTAGGAATTAAAAAGCTTTATTGTTTTCAATTACTATTTCACACACTTTTATATAAGGCGTATGTATTAATAAAGATATATTTGGTACATGTATAGGATATTTTTGTTCGTATTTAATTTTTCATAGACTTCATATTTTTATATTTAACGTGTTTAAATATATCCTGCATGTACATTCCACAAACCACGCTTCTTTTCATAAAGTATTATTACGTATAAACTACATCTTAACACGTTTGATATTTTCTTATTACACGTATTATATTTACTGTTGACTTTACCTCGGATCGAAGCATGAACGAGTCTGAGTTTATAGTAATATATTATATTGTGCCTTTTATATGTAAATGTAGTTTCATAAAACATTACACTACCTACTACCACTCGAAAATGAAATTTTTTAACTTATCTGATTATATAGAACAGTTCATCAATTTAGGTTTTTTTTTAAAATGAAATTTGTTAAAAAAATAGTGTTTCTGTTAAGGTATGTAAACAGTTTTATTTTGGCATTATCTTGTTTCATAACTTTTTATTCCGAAAAAGAAAACATTCGGTAATATCAAAAATAAAATAACGATTTAAAGTGTTTTTAAATTTATAAATTGTATTTACTTCGAATTTGACCAGTTTTGTTTTGAAATCAGTATATTCTCATAGAGTAGAATGTAAGTTCTTAAAAGCGATTAACATATAAGATCTAACTATCATTGTATTTTAAAATAAATATTACTTTTAAATTCTAAACATATTGTGCTATACCTACTTATGTAATTGCACTGTTATTACTTATTATTATAACACTTGTTCTCCGAGCATGAATTTTCTGTCGTATGTAATTCGCAAAGCCATCGACTTACTTTGTATACATAGTTCCGTTTGCGTCCGCCAGGGGCGCTGTTCATATATCCATAGTCAATGACGATTCAAACGAAAACAGCACAGAAGTATTTTCTAATCTGTAATTCTAGTCTTTTTTCCGATAACGCTCTACCTTTTTTTAATGAGTTTTATTTTGGTATGTATTATTGTTTGCTGGTTTATATATGAGTCATATAGGATCAAAGGTGGCAATCTGACTTTTAGTCAATTTGTGGTAAAATCTCATCAGCTATATGTTCTTTTACGCGGGAAAATGTGAAGCATCAACGTTCCGGGAAGTCTGCAGTTTATGAACATATCCTAGATGGCCCCAACCATTACATCAGATTTGATAGACCACAAATCCTTTTCTTAGGGATCAGTAGAACTCTTTATTTTTTCCACCAGTTCTAGACATTTTGAACAAACATCGGTCCTCGGTGAACCGAAGCCGATGATGTTACAATTGTTGTTGAAAATGTGTCTGAAGTAAGAGTGCTTTACTTTGGGACTTGCTAGTTCCTATGATTTGTACATGTCGTACAGTTTTTTATATTTAATTCAGCAGGTAAATATTTTCTCTCAGCATACTTCCCTTTGCGACAGTAATGTGTGCATTACATGCATTTGAGGCCTTCAATAAACCGATGAATGGACTGTTTCTGTTCGGAAAATTTGACTCGTTTCCGACCCCCCCCCCCGCGATTTTCAAAAATATCACCTGTGTAGTAAAATCTTTTCATAACGTAAGATATTCTATGCTTTGTTATACCAAAAATATTCAAGAAAAAACTTTTGAAAAATAGGCACTTTCTGTTTTTTGACATATACCGCATATTTGATAGTAGTCTGCTTCATCGATTTTGTGTTTTTTCTTTGTTGAACAGGCTTGATGGAACAGTAATTCAACAACAGTGCATCCTGATCTTTTTTTGTTTTGTTGGTATAAAACTTTTTGTGTAGTAATAACAAATCAGGCATCGCCAATTTTGAGCACTGAAATGCTTTTGAATCATGGTCACAAACTCGACTCTGAAGTGATTTAGATGCGTACCTTAGGAAAAAAGAACATACTCTTTACCTATTGTTAGTGGTAACTTACTCTGTATTAGTAGTAGTATTATAAATCACCAGCTAACTCAACTTCCATTAATTAACTAAATTGTTTAATAAATATTGATAATATCAAATAAATATTGATAATATTAAATAAATATTTATAAAATTATATAAATATTTATAATACTATATAAATATTTATAATATTATATAAATAAAAATAAATGTTAAATAAATATTGATAAAATAATTAACGGATTAAAATATATGTATTTGTCAATCATCGTCGTGGCATGCCATCAGTCCACGCAAGAGTAGTATTAAAAAAATTGTATAAAAAATATAGTTGTCGAGTTGTTTCAACCCTACAGTTTACTTTACTTGTTCTTCTTTGCAACGTTTCGTTTCCAATTTTCGGGGTGTTTCTGCCGTTTTCATTATTAAAAGCGCAGTGAAATAACCCTTAATCAAATGGAAAACTAGGGTAACTGTAGTCCGTAGATTTCAAATATGTTGTCAAAATTTTTGAAAAGTGGGGGGAAGTGGGGTTTAGGCGGTGGGAAATAATTTCCCTTTGTTCGTCACCGCATAGCACAATATCGTCAAGTGGGAAATTATTTCCCATTATTCTATACGGTATACATATTTTTATATATCTTATTTATGTATTTTATATATATATATATATATATATATATATATATATATATATATACATTTTTAACTAGCTAGTTACATTACACCCAGATTAAATAATAAACTGCATAATTATTATATATTATTATTATTATTCCCACTATCTATAAAATGCCTAAATTCCATAACAAATTTTAAAAACAATAATAAATAAAATAAAAAATAAAGACAAGCACAATGTTTTAATATCAAAAATCTCACTCTCATACAATGTAATGTTTTAGTATAAAAAATCTCACTTTTTAATCTTACATTAAAGTAATAAATTTAGTTCAGTTTAGTTATTGGAGTTTGATTCTTGATCTGGAACGGCAATATCATAATTTTTGAAGCACGTCTTAGCACACAGAGATACTTTGCAAGTGGTACATTGTATTTTAGTTCTTTGCTCTTTCTTTTTAAGACTACAAAATTTGCATCTTTTGTACGTACTAATTTCTTCTGGCAATTACTACGTTAATATTCTTCTGGAACTCCAAAGACACCACCTTTTTATTTTTAAACTGTATGCCTTGCTGTGCGTGTCCCTTTCTTGTGGTATAATTGTCTATTAATGCACGCGCCAAACGCAACTTGAAATCTTGGTGACTGTGTATTTGTTGCAACATGCGAGTCGTTTTAACTTATATAGGCATTTATAATTGAAGCGTCGAATATGAAGAAGAGAAGTCGCATCCAATATTTACGGGATTTTCGATATGACGATCTAAAGTGATCAAATAAATCTACCCCGCCCATGCTAAGGTAAGGGTATATGACGCAATAGCCTTTGGACAAAGAACTTCTTTTCTCGAGCCATCTTTTTGGGTCCTTTTGACCATCATTACGTCCCGCGGTTGATGTGCCGTTGAAAGCACTGTTACTTCTTTAGTATCCATCCACTTAATGGCAGTTATTGGCTCTGCTGTAACACTTACAAATTCATGTTTTGCTAATTTCATTGCTTTTGGTTGCTTTTTATTTTTTAGAACATCGGGAAGATCTTTTTTGTTGCTTCTCACACAAAAAGGTCTTCCATTAGATTGCAACCCGTAAAAAAATTATCAAAAGCAACCAACGTATTTGACGGCACATTGTTACAGAGTCTCATTACGACATTGTAGCCCAGTCCCTCGTTTTCAGTACTGTCGCCTTTACCTGTGTAAATTTCAAATTGATACAAGAACCCTGTTTTTGCGTCACATCTAGCCCAAATTTTGAAGCCCCTTTTTATGGGTTTCTTGGGCATGTATTGTCGGAAAGAGCTTCTTCCTTTAAATTTTACCATGCATTCGTCGATTGATTGTATAGCTGAATTACATGCTTCACTCTGATATACCTTATTCAGTTCTGTAATAAGTGGCCTTACTTTGTATAATTTGTCGTAGTCTGTGGAGCCTCTTAGTGGTTCTGTTTCATTATCGTTACAGTGCAAATTTTCAGTATTTTTTTTTCTAAATCTGACTATTGGAAAAACACCCGCAATTTCTTTGTTATAATAAAAAGGATCTGAAGACCAATATAACTCTAAGTCAGGCAAAGGATTTAAACCCATCATGATCAAAATTCCTAGATATGCTCTGATATCTTGTTCTGTGACTGGTTTCCAATTAGTACAATTTTTTTGACACGCATATCTGTTGGTTTGTTCCGTTATAATTAGAATTTATCAGGAAAAAATCTTTCAAAAACAGCAAGTTGTGTTTTGTGTGAGGCATTCGCCTTGGGCTTAAAACGCTTTTCAAAAATTGGGACATCATGGGTTGTCTTTTATCTTCCAATCTCTTGGTTGGGAACGGTCCCGAACACTGTGAAGTTGAGGCTCTTGCTGGTCATTTTCTAATATGTCGTTTATATCAATATCTTCCAAAAAAATGTTATCTGATCTTTGAATGCTCACTGCTTGCTCAGGAGCTGGATCGTTAGAAGAAATTGTTTCTGGAATATCTATTGTCTGTTCTACGGAATATCTACTATCTGGTTCCTGAGTGTATAGTTCTTGAACTTGAAGTGGATTATTAGAAGTATCTTGCTCAGAAAGAGAAATTATTGAATTAGCATTGCTGACTATGTTTTTTGTCGCCGTTGTAGGTTGGTCATCTAAAACTGACAATAAATTTGTATGTGCTGCATGCATTGGCTCCACTTATACAGTATGCTCATCTAAATTATCTTCGAGGCCAAAAATTTGTTCAAGACGATGTTATATTAGGCAATCATCTGGTTGATTTAAGATGCTCGAAGAGGGAGAATGGATGCTATTCTCATAACAAGGATCGTCCTCAGAATCGAAGTCGGATAAATCAGATAAGTCACTCATGTTCTCAACTATTACGCTTAGACTTTTCTCTGTCAGTAGTTTTCTTTTTTCTTATCCATTTCTGTAAATAAGTATTAAAAAGTTGAAGGAAATAAGATACAACAAAAATTAACAAATTTTGTCCGATGGTTTGTCCTAGAATTATAGTAAATGCGATAGTTTACTTTTGTTACATAATCACGTCAAAAATCAAGTAGTTTCTGTGGACAAATCAAATTATAACTGTAAACGGCTTTCACACGGGCAAAGGCGCGGGCAGTAACTAGTTTCCATATTCTTTTTTACTGCAGGAACAAACATTGGGAAATAATTTCCCACTTTTTTGAGACACGAAATTTCCAAGAATTGTTACGTTTATCAGGGCCCTTTTCAATTACAACGGTGAGAAAATAAGTCTAGTACACAATGGTATTGCATCTATGCACTTACCAGATTTTTTTCACTAAATTTTCACCTCAACTTTGAATTACACCGGAATATTTCATAAAAAACACCACTGCTGACTTTGACATTGACGTAAGATGACACTTATAGATTTATAGAAATTTATGATCTGAGAAAAACTACCATGGTTGTATTTGTCTATGGTTGACATTGCTTGGTGTTACGAATGATAAAATAAATCGGATTATGTTTGAACGGAACAAGTGGGTTATTATTTCCCAGTATTTGATTAAGGGATAACTTAACTTTGCAAGCTAAAACTCGAATAATGCACAAAACATTTACGTCAATATTGCTATTAATACGAGTTAATCGCCATCTTGTAAAGCGTCCAAATGCATGCCTGTGATTGGTCAAGTGCACAGAATACCGTTTTTGTTTCTCGTTAGGTGATAAATGCCGTCTTTGAAGCCAAAGACAGATTTGTCACTGAATTTGCAACGAATATAGCCATATTTGAGCCGAAGATGTCTAAATATTCTGAAGGGTTTTCAGTTCTGCATGTTGCCCGATTAAAAAATGAAAAGTGACAAAAATTACAGATTGCCACCTTTGATCCTATATGACTCATATTGCCATTGTTTTGTTCGTAAGTTAAGTATAGTTTGTTGAAATATCAATATGTAATTAATTACATATTGTGGAGACAATAAACTTGTTTTGAAGTAAAATATCTTTTATTTATCTCATAAATATATTTATTACAAAGACATGTTATTTTAGCCCGAACTAACTTTTAAGGCGTATGTATGCTTGAAAAGAAATATTTTGATAATAATCTATATATTTTTACGCACACCTTTGGTTTGTGATATAAGCTAGAAGTACCATTGTGAAGTACTACTATTAAAACGTGTTCTGCTTACTTAAAATTGAAAAGATAAACTGGTTATGTAGATGGAATTGAATTGGTGTAGTGGAAATGTAAAAGAATCCACTTCCCAATAGCATCCCGTGGGTGTCCGTAAGACGTGATAAAATGAAAAGAAACAGTATTTAATAGTAAATAAATATTATCTTCTCGATAACACTCAAAATAACAAAAATCAACGGTAGCCTGCTAAGCGTGGCTACTGTCATCATCATCATCATCATTACAGCCCTTCACAAGTCCACTGCTGAACATAGGCCTCCCCCAAGTAATGCCACAAAGCACGGTCCTGAGCCACCTGCATCCATCGACTTCCTGCATGTCTTACCAGGTCGTCACTCCATCTAGTGGGGGGTCGCCCTACACTACGCCTACCGGTACGAGGCTGCCACTCGAGAACCTTTCTTCCCCATCGGTTATCGGTTCTTCGAGCTATATGGCCGGCCCATTGCCACTTCAGCTTACTAATCCGTTGGGCTATGTCGATCACTCTGGTTTTACTGCGGATATCCTCATTTCTGAGTCTATCACGCAGAGAAACTCCAAGCATAGCCCTCTCCATAGCTCGCTGAGCGACCTTAAGCGTCCTCATACGGCCAGCAGTGAAGGACCACGTCTCAGATCCGTAAGTCATCACTGGCAACACGCACTGGTTGTACAATCTAGTTTTTAGAGATTGAGGTATACCTGACGAAAAGATATGTCGTAATTTCCCGAACGCTGCCCAGCCGAGTTGAATCCGTCGATTGACCTCTCGGTCGAAGTTGGACTTACCTAGTCGGACTATTTGTCCCAGGTAAACGTACTCGTCAACAACTTCGAGCATAGTGCTCCCAACAACTACCGGCATAGGTGTGACATGGACATTAAACATGATCTTTGTTTTGTCCATGTTCATCTTAAGACCTATCCGTTGGGAGGCACTATTGAGGTCATTGAGCATAATGCTTAAGTCCTCCAGCGATTCTGCCATAATGACTATATCGTCGGCAAATCGAAGGTGAGTGATGTACTCGCCATTGATGTCAATACCGTATCCTTTCCAGTCCAGTAGCTTGAAAACGTCTTCCAATGCAGCGGTGAAGAGTTTCGGGGATATAACGTCACCCTGTCTTACACCTCTCTGCAGTTGGATAGGTTTCGAGCTCTGGTTCTGTACTCGGATAGCCATCGTAGCCCTACTGTACAAACACTTCAGCACTTCGATATACCGACAGTCAACTTGGCACCGCTGAAGGGACTGTAGCACCGCCCAAATTTCGACGGAATCAAAGGCTTTCTCATAGTCCACATACGCCAGGCAAAGTGGCAGATTGTACTCTTCAGTCTTCTGTACAATCTGCCGCAGGGTATGTATGTGGTCTATGGTACTGAAGCCTTTTCGGAAACCGGCTTGTTCGGGAGGCTGGAAGTCGTCAAGTCTGCGTGCGAGACGATTCGTAATGACTCTCGAAAACAGCACGTAGACGCGGCTCAGAAGGGAAATCGGTCTGTAGTTCTTTAAGAGAGCGTTGTCGCCTTTCTTAAAGAACAAGACCACCGCACTTCTGCTCCACGCCTCTGGAGTAGTGCCACCATGGTGGACGGAATTGAAGAGCTTCTGAAGGACTTCAAGTACCGGTGTTCCACCCGCTTTCAGAAGCTCCGCTGTAATTCCATCCTCGCCTGGGGCCCTGCCGTTTTTAAGGTGCTGGAGAGCCATTCTAATCTCGCTTAGACTGACGTCCGGGATATCATCGGAATAGTGTCGGATAAGACTTGCTCTTGGATCGTTACTCACACTTGCGTGTGGCTCCAACGATGATGTGTACAGCTGCCCATAGAACCTCTCAATCTCACTCAAAATCTCAGGTGTCCCGGAAACGATGTTGCCACACTCAGTCTTCAGCCTTGACAGTTGGCTCTTTCTGGCAGACAGATCTCTGGCAAAGACTTTGGAGCCCTGGTTGCGCTCGATCGCTTCTTTAATACGAGAAGTATTAAAGTTGCGTAAGTCTCGCCGTATGCATTTGGAGATCTGTCTGTTCAGTTGCCTGTATGCTGTCAAATCTGTTGACGATTGCAGCCTCATCTCCCGTCTAACAGCCATGAGATTAAGAGTGTGATCGGAGAGTTTTTGTGTTCTTCTGCGGCGGGTCTTGCAGAACTTAGCTCCGACCGCATGGACAGTTTCCACGAGCTTGTCGTTCATATCGTCCACTGCATTGCAATCTTCTAGGCACTGGAAGCGGTTACGTAACTCGAGCTGAAAGGTTTCGGGATTCTGGATTAGAGCACGAGGGGGACGGAGCGTTGACTTCATTAGACGAGACCTCTCCAACTTAACGTTTAGGTTCAGTGTGCCTCTAACCATTCGGTGATCGCTGCCAGTTTTCACCCTTGCGATCACTGAGACATCACTGAACAGTTGGCGTCTGGTCGTCATAATGAAGTCAATCTCATTTTTTGTCGAACCGTCGGGGCTCGACCAGGTCCACTTCCTGTGGGGCCGCTTCTGGAAGAAAGAGTTCATCATAAAGAGTCCCTCTTTCTCCATAAAGTCGGCCAGCTGCTGGCCCCTTCGGTTCCGTTGCCCTACTCCAAATTTCCCTACCTTCAGCTCACCGCTTTCTCTTGTGCCCAGTTTTGCGTTGAAGTCTCCCATCAACACCGTGTAGTAGGTTTTGGAGGAATGTATGGCTCTGGAAATATCCTCATACATTTCCTCCACCTCCTCATCGGGATGTGCCGAGGTTGGTGCGTAAACCTGAATGACCTTCAGCGAATACCGTTTGGTGATTCTGAGTATCAGGTACGCGACCCTCGTCGACACACTCCCAATCTTTACAACGTTGTTGACGAGAGATTTGTGGACGATAAATCCGACATCTCCTTGGGACAGATGGTCGCCCTCCCGGTGATAGAACAAGTTGCCGGACTCGAGGATTGCCGTGTCCTCCCCCTCTCTTCGGACCTCGGATAATCCAATAATATGCCAGCGCAACTTGTCTACCTCTTATTCCAGCTCCAGTATCTTCTCGTCAGTCCTCAGGGTGCGTGCGTTATATGTTGCCAGGTCGACTGGGGGCCGTCTGTTTGTGTATTTATTCATTGGGGGGTATTTGCCACAGTTGCCACGCTTGGCGAGCGGGTTGGCAACCGCAGTTTTAAGGCTACTGTAAGGTAATCTTATAGGGTGTGTTCCGAAATAGAACCCAGTATACTGGCCAATTCAAAAGACGTTATAAATCGACGCTATACTGGTGATTCGTTTCAAAACATTGGCCAGTATATGACATCATACATTTGCGCCATATTGGAAAAGTGTTAGCGATAATTTTATGTCATTTTTTGCTCCAAAAGTTATTACATCCTGTTTCAATTAATTTGTGAAGAATGGAGATACCAGATAATTCTATAATTGAATAAAACTATTATTTACGGATTTTATCGCGTTTAATTACTTTAATCTATTTTTATTATTATCCCCACGTTTCGGGTGCTTTACAGCACCCATGGTCAG